ATTCTATTCTATTCTATTCTATTCTATTCTATTCTATTCTATTCTATTCTACTCTACCCTGTAATTCTATTCTATTCTGTTCTTATTTCATTCTATTCTATTCTATTCTATTCTATTCTATTCTATTCTATTCTAAATATTATTCTATTCTATTCTATTCTATTCTATTCTATTCTATTCTATTCTATTCTACTCTATCCTGTAATTCTATTCTATTCTATTCTATTCTATTCTATTCTGTTCTAAATATTATTCTATTCTATTCTATTCTGTTCTAAATATTATTCTATTCTATTCTATTCTATTCTATTCTACTCTATCCTGTAATTCTGTTCTATCCTATTCTATTCTTTTCATTCTATTCTATTTTATTCTATTTTATTATTATTCTATTCTATTCTAAATATTATTTCATTCTATTCTATTCTATTCTATTCTATTCTATTCTACTCTACTCTACTCTATCCTGTAATTCTATTCTATTCTATTCTATTCTATTCTATTCTATTCTATTCTATTCTATTCTTATTTCATTCTATTCGGTTCTGTTCTAATATTATTTCATTCTACAATACAATTAGTTCCCGATTTACAACAGCTGAGCTCAAAATTTCCATTGCTAAGCAAGACAGTTAAGGGTCAGCTGCCCAGAGTCGTTGGGAGGTAAAATGGGAGGGGGGGAAGGCAAATAAATTTCCCAAAAAATTTTTTGCCCCATTTTATAACCCAGTGGTGGCGAACCTATGGCACGCGTCCCAGGGGCGGCACTCAGAGCCCTCTCTGTGGGCACACGCACCATGTCCCAGAGATGGCAACCATCCCTCTTCAACCATCTACCCCCTAACTAGCCGAGGTCCCACGTGGCCGGATGCATCCCAGCACGGCTGGTTTCCCTCCCCCCCCCTGGTCCCATCCCTCCTGGCCTCACATGCTCTCCTTTTCCTGGGCACGGCCCACTGCATCGCCTCCTCAGCTGTCGGCCGTCCGTCCAGCTCAGAGGCGGCTTCTCTGAACTGCTGGTGCCAGGCTGCAGAGCCCCAGAGTGCGCCAGTTGAGGGGCCGGCAGGCTGTTGCTGTTGGACACTGCCGGCCCCCATGCGCTTGCTGGCCTCTGTGTGTGGGGACCAATGGTGTCAGGCAGCAGCCGCCCTGGCCCCTGCCTCACCTTGCCCTGCGACAATGGCACCCCCGCCCTGCCTCACCTTGCCTCGCCTCACCCCGCAGGACGAGCCTCCTGCCCACCGCCCCATCTGCCAGAGACCCCCTGGATCTCCCCCAACCCTGCCCGGCCCCCACAGGCGTCCCTCCCCACGAGCAACATCGAGGTGACCATGCCCACCTTGGCCACACCCACCCAGTCTGCCATGACCACCACAGCCACGCCCACCTAGTGGGCCACTCCCACCTGGCACCCAGCAATAAATAAGTGGGCTTTGGGTTGCAGTTTGGACACTCAGTCTCTAAAAGGTTCGCCATCACTGATATAACGTTTCCTGCCACAGTTAAGTGAATCACTGCTGTTGTTAAGGAAGTCACATAGATGTTAAAGCAGGGGTGTCAAACTCAATTTCATTGAGGGCCGCATCAGCATTGTGGTTGCCCTCGGGGCTGGGTGGGTGCGGCCTACTGGGTGGGCGTGGAGGAAGTGGGTGTGGTCTGCTGGGTGGGTGTGGCCAGCTCTACATTGTTCGCGTCAAGGGTGCCTGTGGGGGCCTTGGCAGGAATGGGACAGATCTGAGGGTCTCTGGCAGAAGGGGGTGGGACCGGGGCAAGCGCCAAGGCATGGTCCAATGGAGGAGCCTCACTGTTCCTCTCAGGCCATGGGGGGGTGGATGGTGGTGTGGGCTGCCTGGAGCCCTGGGCAGCAGAGGTCAAATGCCCAGCCTGGTCCTCAAGCACCCGCGGCACCAAGCCCAGCCCCACTTCCCCAAGGGGGCACCCAGCTGCACTTACCTCCTCCTCAAGTCTGCTGCTGTTGTGCTTGCTCTCCTTAGCCAGGTTGCTCATGATGGGTACCAGGGCAAAGTCAGAGGGAGACTGAATGCGTTTCAGCATAGATGGCCACCACAAAATTGTACATTGGCTCCCAGCTGGCTTGGGCCAGGGCCAAGGCAGCGGGGGCCATTCCCTCACTGTTTCCAGGATGGCTTTGCGGGCCACATGAAACCACTTTGCGGGGCGCATACGGCCCCCGGGCCTTGTGTTTGACATGTCTGTGTTAAAGTGAGTTTGGCTTCCCCATGGACTTTTGCTTGTCAGGTCGCAAAAGGGGTTTAGATGACCAAGGCACTGCGACCGTCATAAATACGACTCGGTTGCCAAGGGTCCACGTGACCATGGGGACGCTGCAAGGGCCGTGTGAAAAATGGTCATTATTACTGTTAAAAATGGTCGTCCTTTTTTCATTACCTTTGTAACTTTGATCACTAAATGAACAATTCTAAATAGAGGAGTACCTCCGTGCTTAGCCTACCAGTAGCAATCTTCAAATATTCCAAGGGTACATGAACGTCTCTTATTGCCCTCATGTGCGTCTGCACAACACAACATAATCTGCACAGGCTTGATAAGTCACAGAAATCTTGGACTAAATTGCGGTTGTTTAAGTCCAGGACTACCTGTACCCCCCATTTTATCAACGTTGTCACAGCGCTTTGAACTTGCTCTTTTTCCCCCCGTCTTTTTAACTGTGACGCTCAGAATTACACCTCCCAAAGTAGGTTCCGGCGGGCGCAAATTGTCTTTTTTAAAAGATCGCTGCTCATTTTGCAATAGGGGAATGCTCAAGTCTGTTTGTTGAAATTCAGGATGTGCCAGTTTCCAAAGGCACCATGAACGGAACACAAACCGTGTGATGCCAAAGTACACATGCACCGCTAAGCTCAGCAAGACATGGTTAACGCCCTCCAGAAGCTCTGACGATGGCTTGTTATGTTGGCTTTTCAGTGTTGGGAGTGGTGTGTCATTCACGCAATTAGTGAGATTTTACTTTTGCCATTACAGATTCACTCTGGAATTGCTCACCCTTCGTTTGTGTCTTTCAATTGAGTGTAAAAATGCCTAACATTCTTTTGTTATGACTTGCTAAAATTGGTCACATGCAGCGCCCCGTTGCTGCTGCATTAGTGGTTTGACCCCATTTGCTTCAATTTTTCTGTCCATTCAACACCAAACATTAAGAAACACGTTAAGCAAGGGAGAATTCACTTATTTTCCATGCTGTATAGCAAAACAGGTTTGTTTTCAAAATTTAGATTGCTAACAAAGAATTAAGGGAGTGCTGTATAGCAAGGTAGATTTATTTATTTCCCCGTCGAAAGCAGCAGCTTTTTTACTAATGGTTGTTCCAGGTAAAAATCTGCATTTTTGGAGACGACTAGTAGGAAAATCAGGTGGGCCTTAATAGTGAGATGTAAGAATTCTTCATCTGCAAACTTGACAGTGATACTCTTAACATTTCTTTCCCCAATAACATAATGGGGCTGCTTCTTATGCCAGCATATTGTTCTGTGCTAATATAAAAGATGTATTTTATATATATATTGTGGCTAAAATTGTGCTGTTTCGGGAGATTAAAGCACATTCCTTTCAGAGATCGAATCCTTTTTCCTCCCAAAAGGGAAATTCTAAGACCAAACTAAACTAGGCCAAGTATATACATGAAAGACCTTGAGCTAACAACTCTGATGGAGCCTGCCCATCAGTCGTAACTCACTGACGAAGCTAAATGAAGTCACCCACATGAACCTGGTTTTGGCTTGTGGTGGTTATGCAAACGCAGCAGTTAAGCAAACCAGAGATTTGCCAAAAGCCAGAAGCAAACCCTGGTTTTGGCAAAACTGTCGTAAAACATGGTCACATGATACTGCAAACAGCCATAAATGCAGAACTGCAGGGGGGAAAACCGATCAGAACTTCGAAACTGGATCTTAATGCTGAAGATTCCAAGTCATCCTGGTGGTGTTGTCTGGAAGTTGAGTAATGGCAACTGGACTCCTTTTCTTGTTGGTTTGAAATGTTTTGCTACTTATACAAGGAGCTTTAAACCAAGAAGAAAAGTCCAGTTGTTGCCATGATTCAACTTTCAAACAACTGGGTCTTCAGCAGAGGTCCCTGACCTATGGGCTGTGGCCCACTACTGGGACAAGCTGGCCAGTGTATGCACACGTGCATGCACTCACCATTTGCGCTAGCACCCGCAGACGTTTGCGTGTGGGGCTAGCAGTGGCGGCTACCACCTGCGCAAACTGGGCCGCTAGTGTGCGCACAGGTTGCACAGCATGTGCATGGGAGCTAGCACCTGTGTGCATGCGCAAACAGGACCGCTATGTGGGTTGCGTAGCCTATTTGAACGTGTGCAGGGTGAGCAGCGGCAGCTAACGCCTGCATGTACAGAAACGGGGCCACTAGCGCTGTGTGGGCACGCACGGCCGTTTCCACACACATATGCTTAAATTTCCCTCTGGGCCACCAGCATGAAAAAGTTGGTGACCTCTTAAGTACACCCAGGAAGGTCCAGTGTAATTTCTGTCACCGAGGGACCAGTTGTAAGTCAAGGACATGCACCCGTATTTTTCGGTGACAGAATGAAATAGGTGCTCATCACAAGCACTACTGTCCTTTCATCACAATCTATCCTTTAACACTTGCCCTTTTCCTGTAGTTAAGGCTACCAGAGTGGGGTTGCTAATTCATTACTGAAATACTCATTGAAGTTTCTTTTAGTCTAACAGCAAAGGTCCTAAAGAGAACTACCAATTTTTCTCAAATTTGAAACAACTCGTCATTTCATGCAGACCTGTATGTAAACCTAAAGGACTGATCCATCCAGGAGTGCAAAGTACAGAAAGATTTGTACCAGAGTAAACATCTTTAGGCAGATGATTTTCTACAAACTTAAATCAGAAATATTATCTTAATCTGATGTGTTTTATCATTTTAATCTTCATCTTCTTATGGCAGAATCAGAAAGAGACATTAACAAAGGAGTTACTATTCAGTAATGTGCAACAGAAAACTTTTATTAGCATTGACACAAACAGTCTAGCAGTCACGGAAACTTGCAATAACCTTACAATATTAAGTTATTATACTGCTACAGTGCAAACAAATGTTACTGGCAACTTGAAAATTGTTCAGAACACCTAAATGCCTCCTCTCAGACGGAGGACAAGATGGAGGGTGGACTCCTTCTGGATGTTGTAGTCGGAGAGGGTGCGGCCATCTTCCAGCTGCTTGCCGGCGAAGATCAGTCTCTGCTGATCAGGAGGAATGCCTTCCTTGTCCTGGATCTTAGCCTTGACGTTTTCAATAGTGTCACTGGGTTCTACCTCCAGGGTGATGGTCTTCCCAGTCAAAGTCTTGACAAAGATCTGCATCCCACCCCTCAGACGGAGGACAAGATGGAGGGTGGACTCCTTCTGGATGTTGTAGTCGGAGAGGGTGCGGCCATCTTCCAGCTGCTTGCCAGCGAAGATCAGCCTCTGCTGATCAGGAGGAATGCCTTCCTTGTCCTGGATCTTGGCCTTGACGTTCTCAATGGTGTCACTGGGTTCTACCTCCAGGGTGATGGTCTTCCCAGTCAAGGTCTTGACAAAGATCTGCATCCCACCCCTCAGACGGAGGACAAGATGGAGGGTGGACTCCTTCTGGATGTTGTAGTCAGAGAGGGTGCGGCCATCTTCCAGCTGCTTGCCAGCGAAGATCAGCCTCTGCTGATCAGGAGGAATGCCTTCCTTGTCCTGGATCTTGGCCTTGACGTTCTCAATGGTGTCACTGGGCTCCACCTCCAGGGTGATGGTCTTCCCAGTCAAGGTCTTGACAAAGATCTGCATCCCACCCCTCAGACGTAGGACAAGATGGAGGGTGGACTCCTTCTGGATGTTGTAGTCGGAGAGGGTGCGGCCATCTTCCAACTGTTTGCCGGCAAAGATCAGCCTCTGCTGATCAGGAGGAATGCCTTCCTTATCCTGGATCTTGGCCTTGACGTTCTCAATGGTGTCACTGGGTTCCACCTCCAGGGTGATGGTCTTCCCAGTCAAGGTCTTGACAAAGATCTGCATCCCACCCCTCAGACGGAGGACAAGATGGAGGGTGGATTCTTTTTGGATGTTGTAGTCGGAGAGGGTGCGGCCATCTTCCAGCTGCTTGCCGGCGAAGATCAGCCTCTGTTGATCAGGAGGAATGCCTTCCTTGTCCTGGATCTTGGCCTTGACGTTCTCAATGGTGTCACTGGGCTCCACCTCCAGGGTGATGGTCTTCCCAGTCAAGGTCTTGACAAAGATCTGCATCCCACCCCTCAGACGGAGGACAAGATGGAGGGTGGACTCCTTCTGGATGTTGTAGTCGGAGAGGGTGCGGCCATCTTCCAGCTGCTTGCCGGCGAAGATCAGCCTCTGCTGATCAGGAGGAATGCCTTCCTTGTCCTGGATCTTGGCCTTGACGTTCTCAATGGTGTCACTGGGTTCCACCTCCAGGGTGATGGTCTTCCCAGTCAAGGTCTTGACAAAGATCTGCATCCCACCCCTCAGACGGAGGACAAGATGGAGGGTGGATTCTTTTTGGATGTTGTAGTCGGAGAGGGTGCGGCCATCTTCCAGCTGCTTGCCGGCGAAGATCAGCCTCTGCTGATCAGGAGGAATGCCTTCCTTGTCCTGGATCTTGGCCTTGACGTTCTCAATGGTGTCACTGGGTTCCACCTCCAGGGTGATGGTCTTCCCAGTCAAGGTCTTGACAAAGATCTGCATCCCACCCCTCAGACGGAGGACAAGATGGAGGGTGGACTCCTTCTGGATGTTGTAGTCGGAGAGGGTGCGGCCATCTTCCAGCTGCTTGCCGGCGAAGATCAGCCTCTGCTGATCAGGAGGAATGCCTTCCTTATCCTGGATCTTAGCCTTGACATTCTCAATGGTGTCACTGGGCTCCACCTCCAGGGTGATGGTCTTCCCAGTCAAGGTCTTCACAAAGATCTGCATTTTTTATCTGCAATGACATAGCATGGAAAAATCAGAGCTGCCTGCATCAGAATATAAATTTCTAAATATAAAGAAACCTAACTTTACAAAAATACTCAAAAACTTATTTTGAAGTGAAAATAAAGCATCCTTTTTATTTAATCACCCATATCAATGGGACTAAGGCAGATATTGTTCCATCCTATACCCAAAAACCCTATCCTGAACATGAAGGTATTAAAGCATTCCTGTTGCTGTATTTTTATTTGTCACATTTCCATACTTCCTATTTCACCCAAGTGACTCCAATGTTAATGTATTAAATAGCAGCCCAGTTCATTTAGAAATGCAGTTTTGCACTACTGATTTTTTGAATTTATTTCCACATTCCCATATTTATAAGCAATACACAATGTATAATTTCCACTCTTATTTAAAAAAAGAGTCTCTGCCCCTGAAAGTCACCCCTTAAATTCCCAATACCATCAAAATTGCAACCAAACATTGTAGCTACAGCATCATAAATATCTCACAGAATGTCCATAATGGACTCCTACATATTTCTATTCTTTCTGACTTAAGATCACCCATTCTACAAACTGGAAAACCTTAGGTCAGAAGCGGGCACCATTCTTCCATGTTGGGACTTCTAGTCCCCATAAATACCGCATCTGACAACCAATATCCAAGGCTATCTTGAAGTGCCTGTAAACAACTCCAGGGAACTGCTAACTCAGAAAGGTTACCCTACAGCACCTATTAGCATAAAAATACCGCATTTAACCATATCAGGAAATAATTCAAGACTGCACCAATTGCCATGCAGGTCATGGTTTCACCCAGCAGTCCTATCTCTAAACTGCCCATTAGGCACTTAATTCTGAGAATGGCTTTACAGCACTGAAAAAAGCAATTTATGACCAGTTTTCACACTTATGACAAGTTGCAGAATCCCCAGTCCTGTGATTCAGATGCTTGGCAACTGACTCATATTAATGAGTATTTCAGTATCCTGGGGTCATGGATCCCCTTCTGGGACCTTCTGGCAAAGTCAATGGGGAAGCGGCAAAAAAAAGGCGTAAAATGGGGCAAATCTCACTTAACAAAACGTCTCACTAGCAATCTAAATGTTGGGCTCAATTTTGCTCTTAAGTCGAGGTTCGAGTGCTTTGATCCCCAGCCCTTTCTAAATTTAAAAATTCAGATCCGAATGATGCAATACAGGTAGTCCTCTACTTATAACACTTCATTTAGTGGCTGTTCAAAGTTACAAGGCACGGAAAAAGGGGACTCATGACCATTTCTCGCACCTATGACCATTGCAGCATTCCCCATGGCCAAGTGATGCAAATTTGGATGTTTGGCTACTGGTTCATACTGTATTTTATTGACCATTTGTCGCAGAGTCATGGGATCAACTCTTGCAACCTTCTGACCAGCAAAGTCAGTGGGGGAAGCCAGATTCACTTAACAACCGGTTTTACTAACTTAACAGCTGCAAAAATTCACTTAAGGGTGGCAAGATGTAAAATGGCGGTAAAACTCACCTAGCAACATAAATTCGGGGCTCAATTGTGGTCATAAGTCGAGGACTAACTGTAACACTTTTTTACCTGCAACGTCACTTTTTGTAATGTCAATTAACAGTGCCAAAGAATTACCCCCCCCCAATCAAGCCAGTAGCCACCATAGGACGCCTTATCCTTATTTAGTGGTATAAATACACCTTTAGTGCGAGATTTACTCCCAAAGGGGGGGAAAACCCAACCCACCGCCCTCTTCCCTCAAATGGGCTCAAACTACAAAATACCCCACAAGGACGGAAGTCCTAATTAACGCCAAGCTAATTAACGCCAAGGAACGAGCGCCAGTCTGGGAGGAGGAAATCCTACCGAGAAGCAGAGCTTAGCCTAAAGTAGTACTTGGAGAGGATCAGGCCGTCGAAATCCATAACTAACCCTTTCCCGAAAGGCTTTTTTTTGGGAGGCCGAGGTTTATCGAGAGGCGTCTTCCAATTTTTCTCCCGGCTCCCTTTTTTTTTCTAAATTTTGACCTCTCGGGCGCCGAAAGCGGCCCCCTTTAGCCGCCCCCAACCGCGGAGCCACCCTTTCTCCTTTTGCGGGGGTTAGTCAGGGCCCACCTCACGGGCCGGGCCGCGCCTCGCCACAATGGGCGATAGTGACGCCACCCGGGGCTAAATGTCCACGAATAAAGACGGGATACAAATCTTAAAACATAACTACGAAGAGTAACGTTAGTAATAATTTGTTCTTCATCAGCTTACCGCTTCACTCAGGCAGCCCAGAGAGAATTATTGGAGAGCGTTGACACCAGAACCAACGCCGATGCTTTTTCTCCTTCGCAACGCGTCACTCCTATTTATAGGGTTTCGCTTCTCGTCGCCCCGCCCTTCAGCTTCGCTTTAAATATCCTTCCGCCTTAAGAAATAGTCCCCCCGGAGAACGTTCCAAAGAGCGGATTCTGCGCCTCGTTTTCCTCTCATTCGACGAAAAATAAATAAAACGAAAAATAAAATGAATTAAACGAGATACGTTTGTCTGTTGATGTCGGTCTCGAAGGGATTAGGCGGAGGTAGTTAAGAGAGGAAGGATATGAAATAGAAGTAAAAAGTCCCTTGTCGTCGGAAGAATAATTCTACGAAGCTAAGAGGCGGGGCTAAAGCGTTGCTTCGGCCGCCATTGGCGGGAGAGAGAAAGAACGGACGCTGATTGGCTTCCGCTAGATGCAATCGATAGGAAAGCTCTGGAAAGATCGGGACTCTGCGCCTGGGCGGTTGGGGGGAGGGAGAAATAGCCTACAGAAGCCCGCCTCTGATTGGTGCGCAGTGAGGTCATTCTTGTTGCTAAGGTCCTGGGTCCCTGAGAAGCAGATTTCGAGAAAGGGCAGGAAGGAAGAAACAGGCTTGATGGCCTGTTGGCGCATGCGCAGACGAGCCAAGTCGGTGATGGGGTGAGGGGAGTAGGACTGTTTTGAGGGGCAAAGGGCGGGAAAGCGTGAGGCGGTTAATCACTGATCAAGGGTCAAAAAATATAAGGAAAAAGAGAGAAAACAATACATAAAAGCCTTTTTTGAGTTAGAAATCAGAGTATATTTTAGGGTCGGTGGTTTTTTTTTCCTTCTGCCACTGCTTTTCTGAAGAGGAAGTTTGACTGCCTTGAGAACAAGCTTAATTTTCTTTTGTTTTCCTATTTCAGCATGAAAGTTCCTTTTTGGGGTTATCATATATGGTTTTAAAAAGACATTAATATAGGGAAAAAATACAAAGGGAAGGAAGGGAAAAAAGGGGAAAAAGATAAAGAGAAGGGAAGGAAGGAAGGAAAATGAGAAAGGGAAAAAGATAGGAAGGAAAAAGAAAAGGCAAATGAGAAAGGGGAAAAGATAGGAAAGGAGAAGAAAGAAAAGGAAGTTGAGAGGAAAAAGACAAGAAGGAAAGAAAGAAGGAAGGAAAATGAGAAGGAAAAAGATGGAAAGGAAGAAGAAGAAAAGGAAGGAAAATGAGAAAGGGAAGAAGACAGGAAGAAGAAAGGAAGGAAGGAAATGAGAAAAGAAAAAGATAGGAAAGGAGAAGAAAGAAAAGGAAGTTGAGAGGAAAAAGACAAGAAGGAAAATGAGAAGGAAAAAGATGGAAAGGAAGAAGAAAAGGAAGGAAAATGAGAAAGGGAAGAAGACAGGACGAAGAAAGGAAGGAAGGGAAAGGAAAAAACAGGAAGGAAAAATGAAGGAAGAAAAAACGAAAATGAGAAAGGGAAAAAGATGAGAACAAGAGAGAAGGAGATGAGAAGAAAGGAGGGAAGATTGGAAAGAAAAAAAGATCGAGAAGGAAAATGAGAAAGAGAAGGAAAAAGAAAAAGAGTGAAATGCAAGAATAACATCCCAAGGGCCTCTTCTTAAAATGCCAAGGCCCTCATGTGATAAATAGTTCTGAAAGGACAGAGCCTTCTTATCAGTCAGATTTGGTTTCAAAAACAGATAGAAGGCAACAACATAGCTGCTGAGGATTGTTTTTCCCCCACTGCTCTAGTCCTGTTCCTGGAAAATCCTGTTTTTCTTCTCCTCCAGGAAGAGGGAAGCCAGAGACTGAACTTGTTTGCTTCTATGCAGGGTTTTATTATATTTGAAGAGATAAAAGGCATCTGAAATCCAATCTTTTGTTTATGCTGTTGGCTGCAAGAGTTTCCTCCTTGGATCTCTCCCCAAAATTAGTTCCTCTGCCTGAGGAAGGAGTAGAGAACTGTGGCGTAACTATGGCTTGTTTTATTATAATCATCAACTTATGACTGGTCACTTAGCATTCAAAATTACAACAGATCTATCTCCCCGGGCCTACTTTGACCCAAATTCACATTTTGGGCACTCAATGCCTCTACCGCATTTATGATTGATTGCAGCATTCCAGAGTCGTGGCACCATAAATTACAACTTTTTTTTCCTCTGGAAACCAGCATTTACTTTTGATTTCCGACAAAAAGCACCCATTGCAGACAATGGATTCACTTAATGACTGCTGCAAAAGAGTTTGTAAATTGGGCATTTAAGTGACCCACTTAAATGACCAGCACAACTTAACAACCATAATTCCAGACTCGATTATGGATATACGTTGAGGACTACATTT